CACACAACACACACAACACACAACACACACAACACACACAACACACACAACACACACAACACACAACACACACAACACACAACACACACACAACACACACAACACAGAACACACACAACACACACACAACACACAACACACAACACACACAACACACAACACACACAACACACAACACACACAACACACAACACACACACAACACACACACAACACACACAACACACACACAACACACACAACACACACAACACACACACAACGCACAACACACACATCACACACAACACACAACACACAACACACAACACACACACACCCAAAACACACAACACACAACACACACACACAACACACACAACACACAACACACAACACACACAACACACACACCACACACACACTCACACACACCACACACACACACACTCACACACACACACTCACACACTCACACACAAATAGACATAACTCCCAGGCTTCCCCATATTTTCCTGTGTTTTCTGGGGTTACGTCTTCCCCCCAACTTCCTATATTTTCCAATCTTTTCCCGGGAGTCGACGATTAATTGTGTGTGTGCTTTTTCCCCTCCTGATATTGGGCACGGCGGGGGGCCTGCATGAAACCCGCGAGTGCCGAGGGCAGGTAACTTGCACGCAACACGCCCCGCCGCTCACGGCGCAGCAAGGGTCGGTGTCACCCGCCCTCATCCCGCTAGAGCATGCGCGGGTGGCGTCGGCGAGTTGGGGCATGTGCCCTCCCAGTGCGCTGCTGATGCGCCAGCATGGTCCCAGCTACCATCGCAAGAGGGCGATGATTTTCTCGCACGGATGCTGAACTTCGAATTGCACGGGAGAGGTTCGGAGACGAGTCCTTCATCGCCAGGGCGCCGGACGTCCTGTTGGAAGGCATATGGCGCAGGAGGCGGCGGAATGTTCGAGGCCGCCTGTGGTCTGGCACAAGGCGCCAGCAATCGAAACTGTAGCGCCTGGTTGCTGATGGGGAACTGAGAGGGAGCGGGCCTTCTGAGAAGGCTCGGAAACCCTCCCGCCTTCTGAGAAGTATTCTAAACCTTCCCCGAAGGTACAGAACATTTCTCAGAAGGCCGGAGGGCTTCGGAGCTAACTTCTGAGAAGGTCTCTTCCGTCTCACTTCCCCCCTCGCTTGCCGCCGACTGTGGGCAAGTAATCGGCTCTGTCATCGCTACCGTTACGCGGGTATGTGGAAATGTGTGTTCTATGACGTTTCTCGTGGCGAAGGCGCCCTCGAGCGAGTTCCACCATGTCGTGCCTGTTACAACTGTAAACAATATCGCGTCGTTGGTGTCGCAGTGGAAGTATCGTCGTGGATGGGTGGCGTCGTTGATACCGTCGTGTGTTAGCTTCGCCAACATGTTGGGGTGCGCTGTGACAGGATTTCTGTAATTCGTGGTCCCACCGTTTATATTGGCCGCCGTTGTGCCGACGTTTTTGGGGAGGCGGTGGAAGGCTCCGCGGAGGAGACCGAACAGGAACAAGAACACGCGCAAGTGAAGAATCCCATCGACATGGGGCTCAAAGCAAGATGCATCATCGGGTAGACCTTCCGCGAGGTCAAATCCTTGGGATGAAGGTCACGTCCTCGGACAATTCTTCCAGGGCGGTGCAAGAAGACGTCGTTCCAGCCGCTCATCGACGTAGATTGGCGCGACATGGGGAAAAGGGTTCTGGGGGGCTGTCACGGATGGCTGTCAACCTCGCGCAGGACCTCGTCGAGGGTGAGTTCAAGGTCGGGGGTGTCGGAGTGCCTCTGCTCCCTGGCCCCTAAGGCCTCGCTCGGTCGCCATCCCGTCCTTGTGGGCGGGGTCGAGTGCCGCGCGGTAGGAGCCCGCTCTCCTTCAGTCACGTGCGCGCCTCCCTCCCCTTCCATCGTCTCTCCATCTTTGCTGTTGCTCTACTGTCCATGCCGGACCCCTCCTGGGGAAGCTCGGAATGCAGTTATGATGCCAACTGTGGAACTATCCCAGGGTCCCACCTCTCCTTCCTCCTCCTCCTCCTCCTCCTCCCTCTCTTCTCGAGCAGGGGCCGACCGTCCCAGCGTTCATATAGGCCTACCACGAAATTATGCTAGAACGCAAGCATGCTCTAAAACAAACAGTGTTCTTAGAACATCAGGCCGATGTGTTAAAACAAGACAGTCTCGGCCAGACATGCTACAATAACATGCCGTGCAACCCACAGAAGGTTCTTATAACATTCTGTTTTGCGGGCCTATAGGCAAGCCAGGATGCCTCGCCACAGCTTGATCTTCCTCCTGCTACCCTCCTCCTCCTCGTGGGGCAGAGAAGAAACCGCCCAGCTGAGGGGTGGTGTGGGCTCGCGCCCGCTCCCGCTGAGCCCTCCCGAGGACCCCCGAGAGCCACCCCTCTCTCCTCTCGGGTTGTCGTTGACGCGGGGGCTACAACGGGAACCGCTCCCACTGAGACCGAGACCTCCCCAGAACCCCCGAGAGCCACCCCTCCCTCCTCTCGGGTGGTCGCTGAAGGGGGGGGGCAATCAACGGGAACCGCCCCATTAAGACCTCCGCAGAACCCCCGAGAGCCCACCCCTCCCCCCTCTCGGCTGTTCGCTGACGGGGGGGCAATCAACGGGAGTGAAGCAACCCTCAGATCCTGGCGTTGCAATATTTTCAGAATGGGCATTTTCGCCCAAACTCGGGCCCCAAGGCCCTCACATATCGATCCGGCTCAAACAATGGCGCAGAAAGGTGGGGGGGTCCGCGGCTCTGGCCATGGTGTTTTGCAACGCTTTCTTGGCTGTGGGAGCGTCGGATCTCAAGGAACTTGCACCCGTCGTGCACCTTTTGGGCCCGCGGTGGCAGCCTGGAGGTAAATTTGAGGCCCCTTCGGGGCCACTTTCCGGCTATCCTCGATCCTCTCACGCTCATGAGCCCCCCCCCGGTCACCGTTCGCTCCGTCCTCTCCCGCCTCCTCTGCCTGCCCCAGTCACCTCGCCCTCCTCCTCGGGAATTGGGAACCCACACCAGGACGTACGCTCCCAGCCACGTACATGAATACGGCCTCCCAGTCCGCGAGGCCAGCCTTGTGTCACGAACGTTCGCGCAATGCGTACCTTCGAAAACAATCCCGAGGGAGGGGAGGCGGCGATGGTCTCAGCCGACGGGTCGTTAGGCTGTGGCCCTCCGGGGGCGGGTCCCCTCAGGGGCGGATGGGCCCCGAGGAGGAGTCCGCGCCGGCGCTCTGCCAGACGGAGGGCGGGACCAGGAGCGCGTCTAGGCCCGCCCCTCAGCAACGCGCCGCCGCCGCCCGATCGGCCAGGTCGACCTGGACGCCCGGGCGAGCGCGGGTCAGGAGGAGGCCTCGACGAGGAGAAGGAGGGGACAGAGGGGCACGCACGATGAGGAGAAGGGGGGAGGAGGACGAGGAGGAAGAGATGCCGTAACCATTTTGACGGAGCGGGGCAGCCCTTTCCAACAGACCTCCCCATCGCCAGCTCTCTTAGTGAGCTCATGGTGGAGCAACTCCTTCCAAGAGCCCTTGCGAGGGCATGCCTTCGTTTCGGCCGGCGTTTGGTGGTTCCTGAGCGGGGGGGGGAGCTGCCCCCCGAATCGCGGCTGGATTTCTACGGAGACGGCGGCGCGCGTGCGCTGCAGCAGCGGCCGCGAATCCAGGATGCCGCGGCGCCGCGCGGGCTGGCCCCTGCGGCATCTCCGCGGCCTCCACGTGGGCCCTGCCGTAGCAGCTCCAGACCATCGGCCAGTACCGCGCTCCCTGCTCAGGGGACCAAAGGCCCCGCAGGAAGAGGAGGAGGAGGAGGAGGAGGAGGAGGAGGAAGAGGAGGAGGAGGAGGAGGAGGAAGGGAGGAGAGGGAGGAGGAGGAGGAGGAGGAGGAGGAGGAAGGAGGAGGAGGAGGAGGAGGGAGGAGGCGGAGGGGAGGAGAAGGAGGAGGAGGAGGAGGAGGAGGAGGAGGAGGAGGAGGAGGAGGAGGAGGAGGGAGGCGGAGGAGGAGGAGGAGGGTGCGGCCAAGCATGGGCGTTCGGCGAACTGGGCCCCGCGCGCCCGATGCGCCTGAGGGCCCCTGCGCCGAGGCCAGCCATGCAACGGGCGAGGGCAGCGGCCCGGCCGGGGACGGGCGGCTCGGGCGAGGGCGGGGGTCAAAGCCGCGGGGCGTCGTGGCGGCACGCCTCGAGGCCTGGAGCACAAGCAGAGCGCTCTCCTCACGGCCAGCAGCCTGACGGTGGCACCCAGGGAGGTGACGGTGGAGGGCGAGCAAACCAGCCTGCCACGGAAGGGATCACCGGGCTCACGAGGGCCATCAAGGACAGGGACGCCGATAAGGACAATGCGACAAGTATCACCGACAACAGGAAGGTGCTGCAGGGGCACAAGTCACAACTCACGCAGCACACCAGTGTAGGCACCACCTTTCTGAGTTGGAGAAGATCAAGTCGTGAGCTCAGCCAAAGAAGGAGGCTGAGAGCACGACCGTTGAGGCGCAGGCCGACATCAATAAGCTCGATGATCAGTTGAAGACGCTCGACCAAGAAACCATCCAGGCCAAACGCGACTTGATTGAGACCTTGCCGGCCGAGATCAGGTTCTACGACTGCGAGGAAGACTTTGCAGAGGATGCCGAGGTCAATTATTGGCTTGCGCGAGGTGCTTGGACGCGTTACCCAGACAAGGTCAAGGAGAGAGGGATGCGATTGGGTGTTCGGCCTGCTGATCTTGGTGCTCGTGATGCTGGGGTGGGGGGTAGGCGCTTCCGCAGCAGAAGCGAGCGCCGACATGGTCGAACCTCAGGAATCAAATATCGGCGCCCTTTTTGAAGCCATCTACGATGAGAAACCTTCCGGGACAAACTACAACAGATACGATGGACATGACCGAAGCGTGGATAGCACAGCTTTGGGTGGATTTATTTTCAAGTGCCCCACCAGCGAGCCTCCCCGTCCTCGGTGGTCGGCACCAGCAGAGGGGGAGGAGGACACGGAGGACGACGAGGAGGACCACGAGGAAGCAGGCGTCACCGTGGTCGACACAAGCCCCCGCACCAATCAAGGGGTCCGCTACGACTAGAATCTCGACTCGGATCCAGCGCGGCGACCAGAGACCCCCTGGGAGGCCCCAAAAGAGAGAAGCATGTGGAGAACCTCGACCCGACCCTCGAAATTCGATGCCGTCGCCGTAATCGTCGTCGCTGTCGTCGTGGCCAGAGCTGGGCCGAGGGCCTCCACCGATGATGGGCACCCGAATTATCCGGGATTCGACCTGGTCCGGGTATGGCCCTCTGTAAGGTGCTCCGGGAACATCCTGGAACCGCTTGATCCGGGACAACTCCTGTTTCAGGAGAGTTCTGGACGGTCTGTACATGGGGCAGAACGTGATCCAGGGGAACTCGAGGCAAATCCAGGGCAAATCCAGGGCAAATCAGGCGCAATCCAGGGCAAATCCAGGGCAAATCCAGGGCAATCCAGGGCAAATCCAGGGCAAATCCAGGGCAAATCTAGAGGGGAACTCGAGTTGGGCGCAATCCAGGGCAAATCAGGCGCGAAAACGGGTGGCCCGGGCCGGAATTCCCTGCGAGCCGATGGCGTGCCGCTCCGCTCCGCGGGGCGGGAGGCTCCGAAAGGCTCGAGACGTTGAAGCCTTGGGGACTGGGAAGTGGATACCGTGTGACGCCGAAGCACGGTGGGCCCGAACTGGCGGCGCGACACGCTATCCCAAAGTGCCCGACCGTACGTATCCCTGATTCGGCGGCGGGCGAGAGGGGAAGTGAGAAGGAGAAGGCCTTCTCAGAAGGCTCGGAAGTCCCCCAGCCTTCTCAGAAGTTTTCTGGGCCTCCCCCGAAGACAGCACAAAACCTCTCAGAAGGCGTGAGGGCTTCAGAGAAGTCCCGCCGCCTTCTGAGAAGGCCTTCTCCTTCTCGTTTCCCCCCCTCGCTCGCAGCCGAAAGTTCAGCGCACCCCCTGCCTCAGGTCCGTGCCCCGCGCCAGAGGTGCAGAAGTTTGGTGAGGGTGATGCCAGGTGGTGGTGGTGGGATTTGTTTCGTTTTTGCGGGACAACGTCGCAGTCGGGTTTCCAGACTCTCTGGGCCATCCCTAATTGGGTTTCGAGACTCTCTGGGCCATCCCTGGGGAGCTCCCCCCCCTCGCTCGCCGCCGACTGACAACTCGGATTTTCCCCGAGGGCCTCCGGCGACAGCGCGCCGCGCCGCCGCCTCGCCCGGTCTCGCAGCACGGCTGCGGACACCAGGCCGGCGCCTCGCCAGGGAGGGCCTCGTCCTCGCCTGCCCTTCCCTCCTCCTGCCTCCTCCACGTCCAGCTCCCCGGGCCTCCTCCTCCAGCCTCCAATTACCTCCTCCCTCTCCTTTGCCTCCTCCAGCCTCCTGCCTCCTCCACGTCCAGCTCCTCCAGCCTCCAGCCTCCACCTCCCGCTCCTCCTCCTCCTCCTGCCTCGTGCCTCCTCCTCCCCTCCTCTCCTCCTCCTCCTCTTCCTCCCTCCCTCTCCTCCTCCTTCTCCTCCTCCTCCTCCTCCTCCTCCCCTCCCCCTCCTTCCTCCCCCTCCTGCTCCTCCTCCTCCTCCTCCCTCTCCTCCTCCTCCTCTTCCTCCTTCTCCTCCTCCCTCTCCTCCTCCCTCCCTTCCTCCTTCATTATTTTTCCTTACGAAAGCCCTGCCGCACCCCGAGGCCGGTCGGAAGGGCGGGCCGGGCGTTTCGTTTGATACTTCCTTACCATTTAGGAGCCTCAAGCTTAAAAGCTGACATCACTTTCACGAATGGAGGGCGGGCCGCTTCGAACATGTTGCTCTCGCCTTAGCGCTGCGTGCATTCGTTTCAAACGTTTGCAAGAATAGATTGAGGGCGGGTGGTTTCCAACGTGTGACTCTCGCCTAGCGCCGCTCGCATTCGTCTAAACAGTTGCAAAGGCTTCACGGATTGAAGGCGGGCCTTTTTCAACATGTGACTCTCGCCTTACAACTTCGCACATTCGTTTCAAAACTTTGCCAGCGCTTCGCGGCTTGAGGACGAATGGTTTTCAAAATGTGGCTATCGCCATAGCGCCGCGCACATTCGTTTAAGCAGTTGCAAGAGTTTTACGTGTTGAGGGCGGACCGTTTTCAAAACGTGTCTCTCGCCGCAGCGCCGCGCACATTCGTTTTCAAGCCTTGCAAGGGTTTCACGGATTGAAAACGGCTCCTTTTCAAACTGTGGCTCTGGCCTTAGCTCCTCGCTCGCTCGCTTTGAAACACTGCCAGAGATTCTCGGATTCCTATGGCTACGGACACGGTGCTTTGAAACGGTTCAAGATTGTCAGGGCGCAACCGTTACAGTGCGTCGCGGTGTGCAAGTCACAGGAATGGTGTTCTGTCGCGGATCAAGATCGTCAAGACGCAACAGTCAGGTTGGCGTTGGAATCCCGAGAATGGTGCCTCGGCGCGCTTCTGGATCTTCCAAACATTGCCCTCCAACGGGACACTTCCTTCCGTGAAATTGAATCCGTGTAGGGGTCTATAAAGAGAGAGCTTGAAGGGAGGGTTTATTCCAACATCGTTCATGCGTTTTGGGTTTACACGGGCCCCCTCCTCCTCCCTCTCCTCCCTCTCCTCATCCTCCTCCTTCTCCTCCCCCTCCTCCTCCTCCTCCTCTTCCTCCTCCTCCTTTTCACCTCCTCCTCCTCTCCTCCTCCACCTCCTCCTCCTCCTCTATCGCCTCCTCCTCCTCCGCCTCCTCCTCCGCCTCCACCTCCTCTTCCAGCCTCCTCCTCCTTCTCCTCCTCCTCCGCCTCCTTCTCCTTCTCCTCCTCCTCCGCCTCCTCCTCCCTCCTCTGTCCCTGCTCGGGCCCCGCGCGCCCCCGCGGGCTCGAGCGGGCCGGAGGGGAAAACCCGCCCCCGCCCCAGCGGCGGCAAGCACGCCCGCCCCCACCGCCCCCGCAGCGGAGGCAACGCCAGCAGGAGGAGGGGGAGGATGAGGCGTGGTATGGTACGGATGCTGTGGTTTGGTTTAGCTCTAACGGCGAGGTCAATCCCCCATCAAAATTTCAGCTCCGATTCGCGATCGCTATCATCGCCGCCGTCGCTCCTCGCTGAGCGCTCGAGGGATTGGCGCCCGATCTCACGGACTGCGGGCAAATCGCGCCCCCACAACCCGCAAGCCCGCAACACCTCGACTCGCGGGCTCAGGAGGGGTGGGGGGAGGGAGGGGGCGCGGCGGCAAGAGCACGACCGAGAGGACGGGTGAGAGGGAAGGTCCGACCGACAGCAACGGCAACAGGCGGCGGCAACGCGCGCGCAACGGGCAGGCCTGGGCGGCGTGGCCTTCGAAGAGGAGGACAAGGAGGAGGAGGAGGCGGAGGATGAGGAAGAAGAGGAGAACGAGGAGGAGGCGGACGGGGTGGAGGAGGTTGAGGAGGAGGAGGAAGAGAAGGAGGAATATGAGGATACTTATAATACCAAGAATGCCAACACTACTGACATACGAAAGATAATACATCTAATGGCATTAAAGAAAGGAAGCTACCACGAATACGGCTACTACTGGAAGTAGACATACAATGATGCGACGAGGACGACTAACAATATCAAGCATACTAAAACACATGCGACGACGATTGATACGACGAAAAGCAACACGACCAATACACATACTACTAGCATTACGAATAATAACACTGATACCAGTCGCACGAATACTCTTAATACTGATATTGCTACTGCTACTAGTACGACGGATAATACTATTCATGATGATTGCACGAGTAATTCTGAATTACTATGACTAAGTAAACAGAATACGTATAATAAACATACGAAGAATAATGACACACAAAAAGAACATGTTACTACGAAACATCATACTGCGAATACAACAAACAATCCCCCCCGTGTCCCTCCTCGGCTCGCCTCCTCCTCGCCGCGTTCGCCGGCCCCACCAGCGGCCGCAGGCGACCCGCGCTTATGCCCCCCCCCCAGCCCGCGAATGTTTGCAGGGCCGGGGGGGCGAGGGCCCCGGGCGCAGATGAGCCAAGACAGCCCGCGACTCGTGGCTCTTATGGGGGGGGGGCGAACAGCAGTCGCAGCGGGCGGTGCCGCAAATGGCTGTATTGCTATTTTGGCCAGTGGTGACGAGAATAATGGTATGTCAGACGAAGAAGGCATTTACCGCTGACTGGGCTGATGGTGGATGCCCGTTCAACCCGAGGACCAACCGCGCTGTCGAACGCGCCTTGTGGCAGGGTATTAGTCGGCAGTGTGAAGGAGATCGAACCAAGATCGATGTAATCCACGGCTTGCGGGCGTCGGTGCAAAGGAAACTGAATTGCGTCTCGCGCGTCGTACTGGACTGTGATTATGGTCAACGCGAATGCGTACGCCACCCTGTTGCCTTTTTTTCGCAGGATGTGTTTCGCCAATGTGATGCGCTCTTGTTCAACGCATCTACTTGTCAAACCGTCGCCGCGCGCAATGGCGCGGCGCCTGCTGGCGGCTGGGGGCGGCCGCCCTGCGTCGTGGATCCTGACTCTTGGGGGGCTGAGATTCTTTGGAGTCTGAGGCGGGCTTGGCCAAGAACGAGGCTCACAATCCATCGGCGGCGCAAAGATGGGGGGGGGGGGGGGGCGGCATCCCGCAAGACCCAATCTTTGAGCCGCCGACGCGAGATGGCCGAGAAGGCCATGGGAGAGCGACGGCGGGCTTTCCGTCGGTGGGTCGAGCAGCAAGCTGCTGGAAAGGGCCGGAGGGCCCCGCGGCAGCGCGAGGGGCCCCGCGCCTTGTGTATCGTGCAAATCGTCTCCGCGCCTGTCGAGGTCGCGCAGGCGACGGTTGGGCCGCGGGCTTCCTGAAACTTGCGCAGATCGTTGCATTAATGCGGTATGTCAGCTACACAAGGCGGATGCGCCCGCAGTTGCGGTGGATGACGTCCTGATGCGTCGGATCGGAGGGCAGGCGGGAGTTGCTTGAAATATTGCGCACGCACCCATGGCCTTGCACTCTGCGCTTGCTGAAGTGGAACCTGACACGCGCGCGTCCAAGACGCGCTCGCTGTTTGACGTCTGCGAGGTCAGGGTGGACGTAGCCCGGCAACTTAAAGTGCGCGGGCGCTTGACGCCGCCCCCCTCCTCGTCCGGCCCCCCGCCGTCCACGCCCGGATAGCTGCTGGCGCTGCTGGCTCCAAGCGGCGCGGGGGCTCGGCCTGTAGACGCGCGCGCGCCCGTTTCGTTGATTCCCCCCGCGCCCTGTCGCCGCGCGCGGGGCCGCGACCCCAAGAAACTTGAAACTGCTCGGCATGGGCGCGCTCTGGGATTCCGCTTCGCTCGTGGGCGTCGAATCGGTCGCCGCGTCCGCGGCGGGCACGCGCCGTCGCGCGCGTCGCGTGACTGGCTGACGGCGGCGCGCGGAATTCGGCGCAGGGCGCAGGTGGCCGGTCTTTTTTCGGGGCCTGCGTGCTCACCCTGCAAAGGGATTGGAACATTGAGGCGCCTTGCATCTGGATCACTTACCAGGGCCGCGGCCATGAGTTCAATGAGGTGGGCCCGCGGGCGGTCAGGAAACGCGCGTTTCGCGGTGCGCGTTTGGGCGTGTCAGCAGGCGGCCATGGATGGTGAGCTGAGACACGTGGAGCGCGGCTCGGTCTGACACTCCCCCGCGCAGCTCGCTGCCGCTGGTCGCCCGAGGACCTCTGAGAACCGCGAGCTCCCGACCCTCGGCTCGGAGGCCGCCATGGGCGCCTCAGATCTGCCGTTGTCAGCGGGCAGTGGTCCGCGCAGAGGACGTCTGATTCCAACTTGGTACTCGCTGGTGATTGCATGGTTTTCGGTGGGCCTGGGGCGCCCCGGCGCCGCCGCGTCCTTGTCGGAGGGGCTGCCGGGCCCAGGCGCGTCCAGCAAGCCTGCTCAGGCTCTGCGGCGGCCTCGGGGTCGTCGTTTCCTGGCGCGGGCCTTGTCGCCCTTTCCTCGCATTGACTGGGGGCCGCCAGTCTTGGGTGCGGTTGTTTGGCGTTCGCGCTTCGGGGCGGTGGCCCCAGCTGCTCGCGGGGGCCTTGCTGGGCTGCTGGGCGGTTCCGCATTTGACGGCCAGTGGGGCGAAGAATTCACGGTCGCTGCTTGGGTGATTGCAACCTACTTGGAGCCGTGTGAGCATCCTGGGGTGCAGCGCATTTTGCATTGCGCGTATCTGGCGCGAATGGTTGTTTTCGATGTGGCCTCTCTGCGCAATTGCACCTGGTCCGTTTCGCGGCGTCGCCCGCTGCCGCGATCGTGGATTCGGGCTTTGTTTTCCTGGGTGTCACGAGTAAGGGCGCCAGCGGGGCCGCGCCCCGCAAGTGTCCGTGGGCCTGTTTATGGCGCGAGTTTTGGCGCCCCCTCGAAGACCGCCTGGGTGTTCGTGCGTGGTGGTGGTGGTGGTGGTGGTGGTGGCGGGGGGGAGGGGTTCTGAGCGCGCGAGTGCAAGGCGCGTTGCGCGCGTGGGCACGTGCTGCAAGCATGTTCGGGAACTTTCACGTCGCCATCTGGGCCGCGTTCGCAGGCCGCGCGTCTCGTGCGACCTCCCGGCAAGAACGGGGCAGCTCGCGGAGCGCGCGCGACGCAGCGCGCGCGAACCAGCGCATGCGCGTCGCGCGCGCGGCCCCCATCTTAGGTTAGGGTAATGTACCCCTGCTCGGGCGCGGTCTAGTTGGTTCTGCCTCTCGTCCTCGGCGCCCCCGATGCCGCCGCGCGGCCCCCGCGCCGCCGACCCGTGGAAGATCGATTGGGGGTCGCGCGGCGCCGGCCGCTGGCTGCGGGGGCGAGGGGATTATGATCGCAAGCTTGTGAATTTCGATGCGGGGGGGCGGCCCTACGCGAAGCTTCGCGCCCGGGGGCCGCCTGCTTGCGACGCGGGGCCGTCGGCGCGAGGCAGTCGAAAGGGCGTCTCCGCCCGCGCGAGGCCTCGGGGGGGCCGGCGTCGTGTGCGAGGCAGGCCTCGCGGAGGGGCCTCTCTGCGGCCGCGTGTCGCGCCGCTCTCATCTCTTCTCGACGACGCCGCTGCCGCTCCAAACTTGCGCGGCCGGCGGCTGAAGAGGTCGGCAACTGATCTTCCTCCAGCGCAAAGGCGGGCGCCCGGGGCAGCGGCGCCGGGGGCGCGGCCGCGCCCAGAACCTCGCCCGGCGGCGGCGGTGCCGGCGCTGCAGGGCCCCGCTGGCGCCTGCGGAGAACTTCCCTCGCAATCGCCGCGCTGCTCGGTCTCCTGCCCGGCCTCCGCGGCGGGCGCAGGGCCTGGGGCAGCGAGGCCGACGCGGCGAAGCGAGGCTCGAGGGCTCAACGCCCCGTCGAGGCGCGTGGCCCGCGAGGAGAAGGGCTCTGCGTGGAACTACTTGAACCCTTCTGAAGTCACAGTGCGCCTTCGCCAATCCAGGGGTCAACCAGTACTGCTGCGTCTCCTCGTTGCCGGCAAGAGATTGCCAACCCTCCAGCCCGCGTTCTCTGCAATATCGCCAGATGGAGTCGTCGAAGCGCGTCCGCCTGCGACCGGTCGGGCGCTTCGGGCGGAGCAGGCCCCATTCGTTTGCGTATGCCTGCCGAGAAGAATCCTCTCGCGTCGCCGCCCTGCGCGACCGCGCCATGGCGCGTGTCCGCGCCGCCCGCCCAGCCCAGATCCATTTCCTTCGAAGCTGCTCGGGCCCCCGCCCCTTGGGCCCAACGGAATGAACAAAATGCAGCGCTTTACGCGTGGCTCTCTTTGCCCGCGTCACCTGGGGGTGTTCCCCCGGGCGCCCTCGCCCTAAAAATCGTCGAAGCGTGAGTTTCTGAGCTGCCATGAGCTGTCTCTGCTCCTCTGCCTGGGGCGTCCAAGACTCGCGCGCCCATCGTGCGCATTCTGATGCAGTGGAATTCAATGGGCGCAGCCTGTTATTGAGCGAATGCTCAGTGTTTAACGATAGCCGTTTCAGGGCCCAGAACATTCCTCGCCCGCGCGCGACGCGATTCCGAATTTCCATGCGTGTCCGGTCTCCCGCAGAAGCGCCCGTGCCCAAGAGCTCCAAGCACTCGCCCGGCTTGAATGCTTCGACCGAGAAGCCTTCAGACAGCATGACATCGCCTCTGCGAGCAAAGTCGCCCCAGCTGGTCTGGACTTTGCAATTCGTCGGGTGCAAACCGATACCCATTTGCGCAAGGGAGTCTTGAAACGTTAAAACCATCCTCTTCATGGAGACCCAGCTCCTTGATATGAGCGTCTGGTCGTCTGCGAATGCGACGTGCGTGAAATTTGGGACTTTCATGCCATGCCCGACGATCGTGCAGTACCCTCGTCTCTTCCATATGCCACTTATGACGGATAACACTTTCTCTAACACCAAAGCGAGCAACGCCGGTGATAATGGGCCCCCTGCTTTTCCACGCGCTGCACGTCGAACGCCCTGCTGTCTGCCCCGTCCCACAAGGAAACGTACCCTCGCACTCCATGGTAGAGCCGTCTCAATCCACGGACTGTAGAAGCAGGAGTGTCGTTATCGATCAGAGCGGCAAACGCAGCATACTTATGCACGCGGTCGAAAACCTTCTCAACATCTAAGGTGGCGATCCATTGCCCCCCATTCCAACGACTTTTTGATGCCCGTCCTGACGATGTGTACGGCGTCTGAATGCACTCGGTTGGGTCTGAAGCCAAACTGTTCTCTCGATAGCTTCGCGCCGATCGCGGGGCCAGCCTATTGTATAAACTTGTGCTAAACAACTTTGGCATTTCATAATTTCCCATTGTTCTGGCGGCGGCAGAGCACCACGCAAAATCTGCGAGAAACACTCAGCCATTGTACATATCAATTTGAATTTTCCTGTTGTCAGCATTTCTGCTACGAGCACATGGTTTGCCCCAGTTGGCCACGCTTCAACTTGTACAACGTTTTCCGCAACTCTTCTTCCGTTACTGCTTCATCGAAAACAGCTTCCGTCGGAGGCTCCACTTCCGTTGTGGTCCGTGTACAAATCCTCATAAAACTGCGAGAACACCTCGCTGATTGATTCCGGGTCCCTCTGCGTCGCCCCGTGCTGGTCCTTGATCGCCAATGTTCTCTCTATGCCTTTGTGTCTTTGATCTAGCCGGCGCAGGGATCCCAGACCCGCTTTTTTGAGTAAAACCTTCCGGCTCAAGGTCTTGTTTGTTGCGTCAGTGTCGTCGCAAAGCGCCTTCCAAAGCTCCTCAATAGAGCTGCGTCGATGCAGTGAACGCGGAGCCTGGGTGAGGTTTAGTAGGGCCACCTTCGGCCGTAAGGCTCAGGTGTGGGAATCTCCGCCGCCTAGCTGGACGGCGAAGAGAAACGAATCTCTCAGCTCGTGGGTGCTAGCGGTGGCGATTCCGCGGCCGCGAGCTGGCAGGTCAAGCTAGATGAGCACCGACGCACCCTTGTGGACAATGACGTCACCGTCGAGGCTGCGAAGTCCATCCAAGACCGAGCGGAACTTCAGGTACGCAAACCCGTTGGGAGATACGACCGACTGGAACAACAGCTGGAAGATGCTCCTCCTCCTTGTCCTCCTCCTCCTCCTCCTCCTCCTCCTCCTCCTCCTCCTCCTTGACATTGCTGCTCCTGCATCTGGCCCCTGGCCCTGCTGCTTACTGCTGCCGCTGCTGGCCCCGCGCGTCGCGGGGCCCGCGGCCCTGCGGCCTGCGGCCGAAGCCATGATCAGGTGGGTGAGGCGGTAGCAGGTCGGGCCCGTGCAGCCAGCTCCTCCTGCGCGGGGGGAGAAGGGCTCCTCCACTCGTGGTCCTCCTTCGTCCTCCCTAGAGGCCTCCCAGATGGGGTCCGAGTAGATGGGGTCGGAGGATCGCGCCGCATCGGCGATGCATCGGCGATACATCGCCGATGCATCGGCGATGTAGGCGTGGAGAGAATCGGTCTCCACGTCGAGCCGCGTCACCGATGCATCGCCGATGCGTCGGCGATGCATTGGCGATGCGGCGCAGTCCTCCGACCCCACATACTCCGACCCCATCTAGGAGGTCTAGATTGTGCATAAATCGTCCCTGTCACACCCCCAGACATGTCGGTAGGACGGGGCCGGTTGTTTTGCCCTGGGACAACCTCGCCATTTACGATCCTGAACCTTGACATTTGCAACATATTCAAGGTTGGAGCACAGGTCCTTTTCAAACTGCTGCTCTCGCATAAGCGCCGAACGCGCTCGTCTGGAAAATTTGCAGCAGTTTCGAAATTGGAGTATAGTTCCTTTTCAAGCTGTGGCTCGCGCCTCAGCGCCGCGCACTTTCGTCTGAAACGCTTGCGACAGTTCAAGGACTCGTAGGGTTGAAGTCCTAGGACATGTGTTCTGGCACGGTTGAGGATGGCCAGGACGCAATGGTCCCGTTGATTCGCGGTGTTGAGGTACCAGACATGTCAGGACACAGTCACGGTCATTCGCGGCGTTGAACTCTTAGGAATGGTGTTTCGGCAAGATCGAGGAATCTCATACGATTGTCTTTCAATGGGACCCTTCCCGCAATGAAAACAAATTCTTGCAGGTTGCATTGCAACGTCGTTGATGCATCATGGGTTTCCAGTGGTCCCCCTCCAACACCTGACGTGGCGCGCTGAGTGACCTCGACGGTGCCACCAAGGGCTTGAGATCAGCGACTCCGACGGACTCCCCACTGGCGGCTTCGTGGACCTGGAGCTGCTGGAGGAAGCGCCCAGGCCCGCTGTGACGGAGTCCAGGGCGGCGCCTGCGCCCGGGCAGCGGCCGCCCGCCCTGCACCGCGGGCACAGGCTCACGCAATTCGGCGACGCGGCGTTGCGGCGCTGGGGCGTGCGCAGCTCGCGGGGCCTTCGCGACCATGGGCCACTGGTCGGCGAAGGCCCTGGCCTCCCAGGAGTGACAGGAGGGCTGCCAGTCCAGCTGCTGCTTGCACCCGCACCCGGCCGAGTCCGAGGCCTTCGGCGGCGTGGGCCCCTGGGAGGCCGCCAGCTGGTGCCAGGCGGTCGCCGTGCCATCAGCGCAGGAAGTTCGGGCGGGTGGTGATGGGGGCTGGCCCACGTGGGGGGTGAAGAAAAAGGACCCTAAAGGGGCCCTTGGGGGCTCCTTTTGGGCCCCTGCTGGCTCCCAAAGGGGTCCTAAAGGGCTCCGTTGGGGCCCGTGTCTTCGCCCCCCGTTGCCACCCGCCCGAAGGAAGCAGAGCCGCCCATCCGGTACAAGCTCGGCCTGAAGCTGCACGGGTTCGACGACGCGCATCGGCCCTGAGGCCATGCGCGCGACGAGGCGGTGGCGCTGGGGCGGGCGGCGGAGGCGGTGGCGGCTGAGGCCCAGGCGCGCCGAGCCGCGCCCACCTCAAATGTATCCTCCCTCCTCTTCCTCCTCCTGCTCCTGCTCCATCCTGTTCCTCCTACTCGTCTTCGCTCTCCTGTTCCTCCTCCTTCTCCACTCCGCCTTCTCTCTCTCTTTCCCCTCCTCTTCCTCCTCCTGCTCCTCCTTCTCCTCCCATCTCCCTCTCTGACTCCTTCGCCTTTTTTTTCATATCCCCTCATCGATCGAACTGGGGCAATGCAGCTGGACCGTCCTTGGCGAGATGGTTTTGCAACTTGGGCAGACGATTCGCCCCTCCGACTCTGCCAAGCCATCAGCTAACCGATCAAATCCTCCTCCTCACCCCTCCCCCGCCTCCTCCATTCTTCTCCCTTATGCATGATTCCTCCCTGTCGTACCCCGAGGCCATTTGGAAGGGCGGCCCGGGCGTTTCGCCGGATACCTCCTCACAATTTTTGACCCTGAAGCTTACAGCATTGCAACAGCTTCGCAAATGGAGGGCGGGTGGTCTTCACAATGCGGCTCTCGCATTAGCGCCGCGCACACTCGTCTGAAAAGAAGGACAAACATCTAGCGGATTGAGGGCGGGCCGTTCCCAAAACGTGGCTCTCGCCTTCGCGTCGCGCACATTCGTTTTACACAATTACGACAGTTTCGAGAATGGAGGGCGGCTCCTTTTCAAAATGTGGCTCTCGCATTCGTTGCGCACTGGTCTCAAACGGCTACAAGCATTTCACGACCTCCCATGGCTGACGTACCAGCGCTGGTGTATCGGAGCGGTTCGCGAAAGTCAGGGCGCAACAATTAAGTTGATTCGTGGTGTTGAAATGCCAAGAATTATGTCCTGGCGCGATTCAGGGTCATACAGGCTTGACAGTCGGGTTGATTAGTGGCGTTGAAATTCCGATAATGGTGTTTTGGCACGCTTCAGGATCTTCAAACGGTTGTCTCCCAAGGGGCTACTTCCCTCAGCGGGAATGGATCCTTGTAGGGGCATGTGCAGAAGGAGCTTGGGGAGAGTGTTTATTCCAATATCGCTGATAAGTCTTGGGTTTACACTGGTCCTCCTCCTCCTCTTCCTCCTCCTCCTCCTCCTCTCCCTCCTCTCCCACCCCCCAAGGGGGGGGGGGTCCTTGGTGAGCGTATCCCCCCCCTAACACGACAATCTTATCCCTCCTGCCCTGCACCCTGCCCACGCTAGATTGACGCCCCTGCGAAGAAGCAAGAGGGCGCGGCAGAAGAGGTGGATGAGGAGTGGGAAGAAAGGGGGATCCTTGATCCACGAAGTGACGGACCCGTGCTTACCAACAGCCCAATGCTTTTGCTCAGCGTGTCGCGGCGGCGGCTCCAACGACACGCTATGCCGTGCAAGCGGATAGCGTGTCGCCCGGCTTCGCGGAGCGGAAGCCGGGGAAAGGCTTTCGGAAGGCCGATGCACGGTGACCAGGACGTGGTTAGCGCGTCGGGCCGACGCCTGGCGGCGCGGCGCGCAAACCAAAAGTTCCCGACCGTGAGCCTCCAAAGTCCAGAGCCTGCTGCTGCAATCGAACTCCACCCTTGCGTTCGAGATTGCAACTAATTAATCTGTTTTTTTTTCCCGCTGCCTCTGCACAAGGGCCGGGGCTCTGGCCTGATCCTAAGCACGCTGCGCTTAAAGCGCGATGTGGAGTGCCCGTCGCAGAGATTTGTACCAAGGCTTGCCCCATGGGGAACTGACTGGCTTTCCACTATGATACGCCAGGCTGTGGAATCTATGCTGCTGGACTGCTGTCTTGTGTGTTTGTGGGTGCTCTTTTGTTTTTTGTCTCTGTTGTTTCTGGTCCTGTCTCCATTCTGCTGTGTCCTGGGAAGCCCACGGCGCCAAGAAAAGTCATTGTGCGTGTGTGTGTGGGTGGGTGTGGGTGTGCGTGTGCGCGCGCGCGTGTGTGTGTGTGTGTGTGTGTGTGTGTGTGTGTGTGTGTGTGTGCGTGCGTGCGTGCGTGCGTGCGTGCGTGCGTGGGTGCGTGCGTGCGTGCGTGCGTGCGTGCGTGCGTGCGAGCGCTCGCTCGTGCGCGCGCGCGCGCGTGTGTGTGTGTGTGTGTGTGTGTGTGTGTGTGTGTGTGCGTGTGTGTGCGTGTGTGTGCGTGTGTTTGTATGCGTGTGTGGCTAGAAATCCTGGCCGCTCTGGGGCGGCAGCGCGCGGCAAGGAGGGCCCATGAGGCTTCGAAAATGGCTCCAGGAAGCTCCGAAGAGGGCCTCCAGAGCCGAAGACGGTCAAACATGTCCCCAATTTGTTTCAAACGTGGCCCAGGAGGGCCCCAAGAGACCCTAAAGACGCTGGGGCCCGACGAAAAAGAATCTATTGATGTTCGTGAGGTTCTTGGCAGATTGTAAAACTCTCGCCTATTCGGGTTTCCGACAACCCGAAACGGCCCCAGAGGTCTCCAAGATGGCTCCAAAACCGCCCAAGAGGACCCCAGGACGGCCCTAGATGCGCCCAAAACAACCCAAGAAATATTCAGGTCCTGAAGGGCGCCAACAGCGCCTCAAGACGGCCCTGAGCGGCACCCGAGACAACTTCCGAACGCACAGGACCACCCAAAAACGCCGGAAGACGGCCCCAGATGTCAGCCAAGAGGCGCCCAGGGCCACCCAGACGTTCCCAAAAGATCCCGTGGTGGCACCCAAAATGTTCCAATGTAGCCGCAACTGGTTCAGCCTCGGGGGCCGGCGGCGGAGGACGCATCCACGAAACCAGACAAATGGAAACTCCAGGCCCTACAGCACTGCGTCGCTGCGTCCCGGAGCAACTTTTGCCAATTTGGACAAGCTTCGCCCTAGAGCGTTGCATCGGTGCTTGCGGAACCGGGGGGGTTATAGACCGAGTCGGCCTGCGATCCACCTCATACGTATTGTGCTGGGGCCGGCCGGCGGCAATTGGACATCCGCCAACGTGCCTAGTGCACGCTGCAGCGTGGAAGTCTGCCGCGCGCTGTCTGGTAGGGGCACCCCCGAAGATAATCGCTCTGCATACATCGCCCTCTCTCCCGAAGCCAGGACCCCTCGTAAACAAAAAACAAACAATGGGGCCGCGCCCCCGAGAAAACGATTCTTCGTTCGAAATGATTGATGTACGCCTCGAGCCTCCGCGACTGCCCATGCAAGCAGCCAAAAAGCCCCAAGCTGGTCCCAGATGCCTGAGAGACGGCCCAAAATGGATCCAAGGCGGCCGAACATGGCTTCTGAAGCGGCCCAATATGCCTCTGAATGCCACATAAGGACACCCGACAGGGTCTGACGAGGCCACAATCGTAGCTTTCTTCCGAATTCCTGAGTGGTTGTCATATTCTCGCATTTCCGAAGTTCCGCCAATTCGAGACTACTCGAGAAGCCTCCGCGATGGCCTTAACACTGCCCAAGAAACCTCCAAGAGGGTCCCGCAATGGCCCAGGAG